CGCGCGCGTGGCGGGAGTGCGGGCTGCGGTACGGGCTGCCGGGGCGTGACGTGCGGGGCCTGCTGTGTTGGGGTCCGGGTGCTCTGCTCTGCTGCGGTGTGCTCGGAACGGGCTTCCTGTAGTGCTCCAGGAGCCCCCTCCGCGGTGTGGCCTCCGAAGGAGTGCTTTAAATTCCTGATTTGGTGCGTGACACATACACACGTATTACTTCTGTTTAAATATATCCATATAGTCGTTCCTGAGGCCTGGTAGTATCGATGTCACCCACTCTGCAGAGAGGCCCAAGTGCTGTGCCTCTTGCCCTACACTTTGCTCTTTGTTTTGATCAAAATATGCATATTCCTTAGACAAGCTTTTCCCCCCATGCCTGCTCCCCGCTTTTTTTTTTCTCCCTTCTCCTGGAAACCCCATGATGGAGAGGTGGTGTTTTAAACTCATGTTTACAAATTGAGACATTTTTTACTGTTTTGTTAGTAACAGTTCTGCATTTTTTATTCATTTGCAGTGGTGACAGCTTAACAAATCCTATTACCCTGTAGCAGTAATGATGTGAACATCCTGAACTCAGTTACTTTGTAAAAATGATATTGTGAACTTTTACATTTTTCTTCTGTATTTTTCAGATTTGTTAGGCCTTTAAACAATGAAAGGGACTTTTTCTGTTAACTCGATAAAACATTTTTTCTCCTTCCTCTCTTTAAGACCTTTCTTAAACAATTCAATTTTTTTAATGTTCTTAATGTTCCACTCTTTCAAGATGCAAGATAGTCTATGTGTACTTTACACTAGCTTGTGGTACAGGCCTTTTAGCTCCAAGGAGTGGCATCTTTTGTGTTGAAATTCTATAGGGCAGTAGTTTACAAGCCAAATTAACAGATGGGTTTGCCTTAATCCATGGGTTTGCCCCTTCCTCCAAACGCCTAATCCTTATTCTCTTTATTGAAACCAGAGCCACATGACTCTTTCTACTCTGGTCTCCTCATCTCTGTAGCCTCTGTAAGCCCCTGTATGATATCTATCCCTCTGCTTTACCAGTGCTATTTATCCTTTGCAAATCATGGTATTTTACTGTGGAACAGTCACAGCTGTAGATTTCAGGTATCTCTCAAGGAGAAGGTCAGTGTCGAATTAGTACTGAAGCAGTTATGGTGCAGTATCTGATGAAGAGTGAGGGTAAATAAGTATAGTTTATTAGCTCTTGTCCTGTATATATATTGGAACAAAGTTGTCCAGGATAGTTCTACTTGGTTTATTCTACATCTTTTTCTCAAAACCTCCCCTGCACTGTCTCTGTGTGGTTTCTTACTCCCTGCTATGAGCCCACCTTTGCTCGCAGGTGTTGCCCATCATGGAGATGGGCACAGCTGTCAGTTGTAAGGCAAATAGTGCCTTGCACTGCTCAGGATCTGCATCTCTTGGTTTGTTGTGTCGTGTCTGCTGAGCAAGGTTTGTTAGTAGCCTTGAAAGCTGGGATATATCTGGTATCTGTAAGGTGTTTCTGCTTGGAACATGGAGCACTGTGGAGTAGGTTTCCAAATAGTTAGCTTCCAAATAGATAGTTCAATCTCAAGGTGAGAAAGAGGACATACGTTCATTCATTCATTGTGCTGATAGTTAGAAGGCCTACAGTTTGAATAATACTACCCAGAACTTTATGTTCCTAGCTTTTGACAAGGAATGTTAAAGTTTTGCTCTGATCTGGAGAATATTTAAGAACCTGCATGTTAAAACATTTTCTGGTATGAGTTACTGCTACTGTGCTTAGGATTCTAGCTGTGGCAGATCTTGTTAAATATTCTTAGTGTAACACCTCTTCTTTACAGTACAGAAACACTCTGGACTTGCAAGGTGGCACCTTGAAATTTGAACTCATAAACTAAGATGCTGAATTTACCATCAAACTTTTTTTTTTTTTTTTTTTAAGGAGAGTCTTTTTTAAAAAATTCCATGTGGGCTTAAGTCATGAGTTTAACCACAAAAAACACACGTTCTCTGGAAATCTGCATAGATGTAACAGAATTAATGAAATCTATAAAAGTGTGGTTATTTTTGACTAGTTAGTTTACTTCTAAGGGGATGCTGATTTTATTATGAAATATGTGCATTGCAACACTGCTTTTTTATATATATTTCTGAATATTGTAGCTTTGACTCGCTGTGTGTATATAAATAGATACAGATGATAAGTGTGCGGACAGAAAGGGCTCATGTTTGGTTTAAAAAAAAATCTAATGAATAGAAGAATCTATGCCAAGTGTACAAATCCTACACATTCCTTTCTGAAGGTAGGTTTATAAATCCCCCAAAGCTCTTGTTGAAAGTAAGGCTTGAACAGTGCAGTTCATATACTAGGCTCTTTCATAGCAGTGTTAGGAAACTGCAGTTCTCAAGATACACATGAATGCTTATGATTTTATTGCTGCAGGTGTCCCTTTTCAAATGAAAATTAGTAATAACTCTTCAGGGAATAGACTTTGGTAGTGTTACAGTTCCTAGTTTAGTTAACTGCTAGCATGTCTGAATTGCTAAAAAGAAAAAAAAAAGTGTTTACTATATGTATATAATAAGCCCACAGCAATGCCCATATGTCACCTGCATGTTTATGCCTGGAATTTCAGAGCAGCGCTTGGCATTTGTCAGGGTTGTGTTTGGTAACTTCATGCTTCAACTCAGCTGGTGGTCATGCAGCTTGCTCTGCATCAGAGCTGTAGCTCGTCCAAGATGTGTGAGGTCTAGCAGAGATGCATTCCCTTATTATGGCTGAAAATACCCTCCTGAAAGGCCTTTAAAGCAGGGGAGAGTATGTTTTCAGGGTAGATAATATGGGAACTTTTCAATTCTAATTAAATGATGTAAAAGTTTTAGCACTGTTAAATCTTTCCCCAAATACCCATTTAGCCAACTATTCATACTCTTTATTGTTAGAAACTGTAGGGCTCACAAAGCACGCCATTATTCTAATGCTCATGGCAGGCAGCGTGTGAAACTTAGTGCTCATGAAGCACATCAGTGAGGTTTTCTTTCCACATGAGTGCAGGCTTCCCTGCTCTGCCTCATCAGGCTGACATTGCTCTGAATGTGGTCAGAGGTGGGAAGGCTGGCTCATTCTCTGAGCTTTCTAAGTCTCTGGTGTTTGTTGAGAGACTTCCAACCAAAGTCTTAATGGTATGTTTGGAAGTCTTAAAATGCAATCCAGCTTTTATGGATACAGGCTTTTTGTGGAGCTTACCACATATTAAATAGTGGTATATTCAGATTTGTCGCAGGCAGAGCTTGGTATGAATTGATGCCACTCAGTAAAAATTGTACGTGTGTCATTGCTAGTATAAGTAGCCTTCTTCTTCCAGTGTTTCTGTAAACAGAGTGGTGTAATCAACTGGTTTGTGTACTCCTTTTGAAGGATGTTCAGTTTTCTTGATAGCTCTGTCACTGAAATCACTGCTTAAATATCCACAAAGGAGAGTAGGACTGTGAGCTCTCTCTCGGACTGAGGTGCTGTTGTGCAGTGGTGTGCAGAGGAGGTTAGTGAGACCGACTCCCTTGCTGAGACCTCCAATTTATTAATTAAATGGGAGAGATTGGAATAAGTGTCAATATTGCTCCGCTCCTTGATGAAGGTGAGGGGAGTTAAATTGCATGGAGAATTTCAGTATTTTTGTTCAGTTTCCGTGGTTTGGCGGAAAGCCAAGGAAAAGGGAAGAAAATCCTGTCCCGGGCATAGGCAGCTGGCAGGCTGTGGTGCAGGGAGAGCTCTGCAAACCTGATAGCGAAACCTCAAATTAGGAGCTGTGGTTCTCTGGCTGGTAGCTTCCCTGCCAGCCCACCTACCAGGCTGCTGGGGATCTGCCCCGAGAGCAGACTGTCCGTGGGGCAGCACCAGATGCTGGGGAACCTAGCAGGGTCCGTCTGTGGCAATAAAGGTTTAGTTGACAGAAAGTGATTTCATCCATTGTTTGGGCTATTTTCTGCTGACCTCGCATTGCTTTACCTGGACAAATCTTCTCTTCAATGCTTTTTTTCATCAAAGAATACACGTCAGTTTGTACTGTGTCATGTTTGTCCTGCATCACCTCGGGTCAATTTTCATCTTTCCCCATGCTGACTCGTGCTGACTGTATTTCAGTTTTCTAGTTTATTTCCTGTTTTTTTTTAATGCCATTTCATTAATATATGTGGAAGGCAGTGTTTCTTCAGAGTCTTATGTTAAAGGTAATCCATCAGAAGGTAGGAAGACAATCACAAGAAAAATAAATTTGCAAATTTATTTCAGCTATAACAAGAATCCTTTGGAGACTTAATGACTTTTTCTTTTTTCTTTTTTTTATTAAAAGTGGTCAAAAAGTTAATGCTTATTTCTTAGGAGACTCAAATATCTT